TAACGGGTTCGATATTAACTAAACGCAACGACAGATATATTATTAATCCTCCTTTATTAAAACCTAACTAAATAATTAATCGAATGAATCAAATAACGAAAATCCAACGATACAATAACCAACTTTACTAATGTCGACTCCGGCACAAGAGCCGCAGAAAAGAAAGAGGCTTAACTCATTTACGCAAGCTATTTATAGACTCTCTCCTAGGTAAGCGCTTGTACTTTGGTCTAGTAGCCAACCCACGTGACTATACGGCGCTCTCCCCTAGGTAAGCACACGTGCTTTGTGCTAGTAACTAACCCACGTGATCATGTAATGGAACAATTTCCATTACAAAGAGGTGTACCAAGGCCTCCGCGAAAAAGATGCAATATCAACTGAGCGTATCTGTCCGCGGTAGAAAATGCCATTTCGCCCAGCATTGCTATCACAAATAGTAAACGCGAAAATCGTTCGCGTTACATTATTTATCTCAAATGCAAATTTGAGATGTGCAGATTATTTAAGGTAAATATAAGTCACAACAAAATTGATATTTACACATAACCATAATGGAAAATTAGTAAGACAACTAAGAGGCCAACGTAGAAAAAATTTGTATGAACAGTTAAAATTGCAACATCCGTCTGTTTTACGTGAAAAATTTATAAGATCCGCCAATGCTGCATTAATAAAACAGGGGAATCTACAAAATATTCATTCGTTGGGGGTATTTAAAAATGTGAGGCTATGGCTGCAGGCGATAAGGCAAAAGATGACGTTATTGATCTAATAGAACGTCAAAAATGTCAAAAAACGGGTGAAATATATATACAAGCAGTTTCAGCCGCTCCATTTTATGCCACCTTTTTTCCGACAACCAAATTGAAGTTATTTTGAGATTAGGTCAGACTTACCAACAATACATTTATATTCAACATGGTCTGTGGTTCGTCGTCTTCATAGCAAACAAACTATATATCTATACAGCGCCGTGGTAGGTCTTGATGTAGGTTACGCTCAAATTTTTGATTTTTTAAGCGATCGCCATGACACAGCTTCAGTTGCTATCGTTTGATAAATTTTAAAAGGTACGTCATAAAAAAGGTAAACGCCTGGCCAATTTTTATGAACGTGGTTACAGACCACTCAATGGCAATGATAAATGCAGTTTTAACTGGTTGGATTGGAGTTGATTTGAGAGGTTACCTGGCAATGGCATTTAAATGGTATATTAGCGAATGTGTCCCAAAAAATCAAATAATGATAAAGCTTTGCTGCTTTTTAGAAACATAGTTCGATTTGTCAAAAAAATTTCAGTAGAAAAGAGGTTGTTAAATTTTATATAAATGCCTTTAGCGTAATACTGCAAGCCAAAAGTTATAGACGCATGATAAATTTAATTACTTCATTCTTTCATATTACATGTTCTGTAAAAAAACTCCATCTTTAAATAGTCATTTTGATGAGTTTCATGAATCAACAATCAATGAAGTAAGTCATTACGATCTAATTGAACACGTTTACGATGATGACGATAATGAAGTTAATGAATTGGAGACAATTTATGAAAGTAGACCATTCTATCGAAAAGGTCTACAAATTCTTGAACATGTTAACGACAAATTGAGTTTGGTGAACGATGAACAGACGGAGCCAAATGAATATTGTAATAAGACTTTCGCGGAACTTGTTTTAAAAAAATATATTTCGATTTTGCGTCTTTTTCAATAGCAAAGTTGTAAATTGTTTCAGGTTTATTTAACACCAATTGCTAAATGGATCGACAAATTTAAAAATAGGTCGTTTTGCGGAGTTGTTGAAAAACTATGTTGATGCGCGTACGAAAGAAATTCAACTGCAAATACAAGCTTCTCGTAAAAGAAAAATAAAACAGTGGTAAATAAAACAGTGGTAAAAAAATAAAACAGTGGTAAAAGAATGTGAGGAAAATTATTGGGGGAAACGTAAACCTTTCAAAAATTATTTCAATAGCATAGTTACCGTTAAAATACCAAAATAATTTGCAGCAGTGATCAAAGTGCAAATGGCTACAGCAACATCTGCTTAACAAATTCCAACATTCCGAGCAACAAATGCTATTACGAGCAAATAGTCAGTAGAAATGTATGGGTGACGCGTTCAATCCAATATTTGTGAATGTGCACGAAACGAAAGAAAGTTTTCTTTTATATGGTATTTTAGGGGATAAAAATCTCTATTAGAATCATGGAATTATATAACTGGAAGCGCCCTACCAGCGTTTTAACATTGAAAATTTTTTTCAACGGGCAAGTTAGCTCTGGAAGCAAGTTCCTAAAAATTAATTATTCATGAGCATTTTGGTTTATTTTTAGAAAAATCTGAGATATAATTAGAAAAATCTTGGCCTTCCCGAAGTTATGTTAATGAGTCTTTGCCGATCTGCATTCAGCTCGTTTGTTAAAATTTATTTCGTTTTCAACATTCCGTGAAGTTTTAGGTTAATTTGTAAGGTACCGTATTTAATCGTTAAATAGATATTGCCATTTTTTGATGCATCAGAAAAATCGAAGATTTATAATAAGTTCGTTAGCGATCCTCATTTTTCTGAAATAAAGATTTCTTCATTCATTTTCTCAGCACCCACGAATCACGATGATGATGGACTTCATATCATTTCATTAGACAGAGTAAGAATCATTCCTAAATTAAATTAGAATCTAGAAAACGAAAAGAAGTCGGAAAAAATTGTATTGTAAAAATGAAATGTTATTAATATTTAAAAAATATAACTCATAATCAATTTATATTGTTATATATAAATAAATTAATCAACTAATAATTTTTAAATTAAGATGTAATTCCTGTGCATATGTCCTAAACTAGAATCTTTCAACACCCCAAAGCTTACAATACAAAGGAATATTAGCTTTCAACATAACACACCCAAACCAAATTTAATCACAGGGAGGTTTTTAAAATTTATTTTGGTAGTAAAAGCGAACAATCTTTTTTTTCTGTTTTAACTTTAAATGCTACGATTTGTATATTATTTATTAATATATTAAATTAATTATATAATTTTTTAAAATCAAATTTTTCAACTTAAATATTTCAACTGTAATTGACATTAATATATTAAAAAAATAATAGTTTAATTAATATTAAGCTAACATAAAATTCATTATGCTATTGATTTAAAAATTTTATAAAACGAACAACTGTTGATTTTTAATAGAATAGGTATGTAATGTTTAATAATTTTTAGTTTAAAACAAACTAAAAATTTAAAACATTATGTCCTGGTTATGACATTAAACTGACCCTCACTGCCTTGTGAATGATGTTGGATCATCAAAGGCCAGGCCCACCGCTTATAACTGTGGTTGCGTAAGGAAGGGCGTCCTGCGTAAAAATTAGCCAAATAAATTACTTATGATGACAGAAGTGACAATGGTTTCATCATAGGTAGCCAAACGGCAACCCCCGATCTCGGGGAAAATGTCGTCTAAACGTGTTGTTTGTTGTTGTTTTAAAACATTACTATTTATAAAATAACCCTGAAGGTGCTAGATCATTATATTTATGTGTAAATTGTTATATTTCTTGCTTGTTGATTATATTTCTTGTCTTGCTATAATTAGTAATTAACTCGTAGTTAGATCAGTCCTACTTTTTTATTTCTGGATTTTGGTTTTGTTTATTTGTTGTATGACTGCAAAATGTTTGATTTACATAATTATAAATTTATCTTTCAACTATCTTGAAAAGTGAAATATATATATATATATATATATATATATAAAGATAAAACTAAGGTTGTAGAATTTGCTTCTGATGTAATCTATTAGAAGCACTGTACAAATTCAATAAAATAATTGATTTAATAAATTTAAATTGTATAATTTTCGTTGCATTTTATTATTTAATTTATTTTTATTAAAACTGCATGTTGATAGAAAACTCTTTAGTTAAGTTAAAACGTCTTAATGTTGTACATGATGTTATTATTTTTTTTATTAATTCATAAAAGTGGTTTTCATAATAGCACTGTTTTTGAAGCCATTAAAATAGAGAAAGTCACATCGTTTCAATATCTAGGGGATGTTCTGGATTGTACTGGAACAGCTGAAGCTGCCGTTCGAGCACGCATACGTGCAGCCTAGAATAAATGACATCTCCTTGCCTCCATATTGATGCGGCGTGACATTCCACTACCACTACGATCAAGACTTTATAAATCTGTGATACGTCCGGTGTTGTTATATGGTGCAGAAACATGGCCAATGACAACCAAACTGGAACAACAACTTCAACGAACCGACATGAAAATGCTCCGATGGATGCAACGAATTAGTCTGAAGGACCACATCAAATCTACCGAAATCCTGCGTCGTGCTGGTTTATATGATATAAAGGACGAATGCCGGCAACACCGTCTGCGGTGGTTTGGTTATCTAAGCCTAACCACTATTATCAATCAATCAATCTTCGTTTTGCGTCCAGAGACCCGGTTTCCTGAGGTAGGACGTTGTTTTCTTTGCCATCAACTTTTTGCGCCAAATTAGACGATCAGTTGTATCCATTTCATTTAAATTTAGAGCTTTCATGTCTTGCTCGATTGTTTGCGACCAGGACTTCTTTGGACGGCCTTTGGGACGTGTGCCAGGTACTCAACATCTGCAAGAGAAGTTATGGCACTGTTTCCACTTCGTTTGAAAAGTTGATGGCAAAGAAAACAACGTCCTACCTCGGGAAACCGGGTCTCTGGACGCAAAACGAAGATTGATTGATTGATAATAGTGGTTTGCATTCTGTACATCATTGAAATGATTTTCCATGTTAAATAAATCTTCGTTGACACATTGTGGGAGTATGTTGCTTTCAATTACAAGTTTTTTCTTAAAACAATAATTATTTATTTTTAATAATCTTTCTGATTCTTGGCAGATCTGAAAATCATTAAAATTTATTGCTTTTACCAGAAAATAAATAAATGTATCGTTTTACTTTTAATACTCCTTTTGAGGGATATGTCAATTGTCCAAGCCAATTATGCACATTTTTCTGAAATTATTTGTAATTAAGTTTTAGTTTAGATATTGAGATATATAAAAAAAACCTTTGAGTTTTGTAAATGTTAACACCATCTAAATTTTTCAAACTTAGCAAGTAGGCTTTCATTTCATAAAGTTTATCTATATTGGCTGTCAGGTTGCTCTTTGTAATGGATTGCTTCCATTCTCTATCTAGTATCAGTTTGTTGTTCAATATATGGAAAAGATCATTGATGTTTTTCACAAAAGCCATTGTTTCAGAAACGTCAGAAAAAACATGAAATCCGTTTAAGAGTTGCAATGATTTAGCCACAGAGCAACTAAAGACTTGAGATGCATATTTAACTTTCATCTTATGCTTTTCAAAATTTACATGATTTTTGGTTAATTTATTTTTAATTCCATTTTAATTTGTTGCTGATAATTAACTAAGTTTACGATATGATTCCATTTGATTGGATTATTATTATAAAATATCATATTATAAGAATGAAACATATTCCTCATTAATTTCAGCATGTGGCATGCATCAAATATGATATATATTTTCTGGCCGGTTGTTGGGTTAGGGGACAAGAAACTTGTTTGCATGTTTGGAAATGTGAAAGAGCATCCAAGCAATCCACATGCCGAAACGTTAGTGGCCAACCCATCCATTACCAATGAAACAACCCTTAAAAATAAATATAATGTATAAAAATTTTAACATATCTTTAAGAAAAACAAATGTTGTTTACCCTAACTCCAGCATTATGTAACTTATCAATGGCTTTCTCTATAAAATCTTTCAACTTGTGAGATGATAATTTATTTGTATAAAAATAAGCTGTTGAATGCCTCCAAGCTTCTCTCAGACCAACAACATAAAAAACCAACACCTCTGAAGCAACTGTCCTCATTCCCATCTCCATAGTTAACACATCCAATAAAGTCATCTTCACAAATAAACAATGCGTTTGATAATTTATGCTCAACATTTAACATCAATAAAATTAAAAAAATTGAAGACAAATGTTTATAGTGAAATGGGAAACAAAAAAAATCAAGAAATAAATAAAATACACAAGGAATAAACTAGCATATGCTACCAAAATATGCTATATTTTAAACTCACAATTTTACAAACAAAATATATTTTAAAAAACCTACCAATTTTCCTATTATACGTTATTTGAGGCTTTATTGATATCGAATCAAGGATTAAAGAGCATTTGCAATATTTCATTCGCAGTACATTTTTCTTTATATAGCAATACTAGTTTACAGAATATCATTATTAACAAAATTTTACTTGTTCAATGTTCTCGAGTGTGGCAGTGTTAGTCCACTTTTTCTTAAAAATTGGTATGCACGAGGACCATGAAAATGCAGCTGCATATAAAAGGTTTTGTAACTATCATTATATACTTTGTTAACTCTTTTAAAATGGTATGAGTTTTTTATCTAGAAGCAAAAAAAAAAACAAAAAATTAATCAAAATTTCAATTCATTTTGCTATGGTTACATAACATAAAACCTTTGTATGTAGCTAATTCATTTTTTGATTTTTATTACATTCATTCATAACTTTTCTTATTGTTGCCTGCAGCATTGTGATTCTGGGCTTGTAATACTTTGATTGCCTTTGCTCTTGCTTGATGAGATGTGCATTCATTGAGCAAAACGTCTAAATATGATTTAAATTTGAAAGTAAATAGCTCCATTTAAAATTTTTCATCATATATATATATATATATATATATAATATATATATACCCAATAAATTAAAATAAAGAAACTCTTTGTATTCTGTATTTGTATTTCTTATGACAAAAAGCCATTCTAAGTTTTAACAAAGGCATCCTAATAATAATAATAAACCCATAATATAAAAACAATATAAAAAATATTTGAACATTAATTAACGATAATTAAAAAAATAAAAAGTCAAAAATTTTAAATAAAAATACAAAAAAGCAAAGCCTCTTTTCTTCTGCTAGTCTGGGCCTAGGTACTCCTGGCACAATGTAACATTTTTAAAACTTTTAAACAAATGAACTTTATAAAATCAAAATGGATCAAATAATAAATTATTCCAAAAATTTTACATAATTCAGTTAAATTATTAAGTTAAAAATCGACTAAAACTGCCGTAGAATGATTTTAGCAGCAAAAAAATGTTTACAAGAATGCCGCCGGTGGCACATTAACAGGGAAGAAGCTAAATATAGATTGGAAAACTGAAAAACCCATTGACAATTTGGTGCTAAAAAAGTTTGCTTTCAAGTTTCCTGACCTTGAGAAGAAGGTCAACACTATAAAGCCATTCTTATATATAATTCAATGATTAGAATATACAAGTATTTTTGAGATGCACACATAAATGGATTTTTGGCGATTTTTTAACTTTCTCGTTACCGTTGATATATTAATTATTAATATTTAGTTTAACGACGGTCGCATTTGGACGTGTAGTGTCTCGTACGCATGTTGTTGGTTGGGTTTTTTAATTCTTGGCTGAATTTGCAATATCAACACAGCTGTTTTTTCCGCGCCGGTGGGCGCTTTTTATTTCTCAGCACCACTAAATAATCCTAATATTTTCATAACAGCATTTCCACTGCAGGTTTCCATTATCACTTATATAGTTGTTTGTTTCATTCTCACTTTCATTCGCTTATATACATTCTATTTTATCTATTTTTTAATTTTTTTTTTCATCACCATTAGTAAGATCACCATCACCAAAATTTTTTTTCATAATATTTGTTTTTAATCCTTTCAAACACATTTCATTCCGTTCACCTATATACATTTTAATTTAATTTTCATCTTTTCATCACCATTTGTAAGATTGTCCCACTTTCCTCGTTCATTTCTACATCTGTTCCCACCAACGTTGTTTATTCCTATAATAGTTACTAACAACCTCCATTTGGATGTATTTTTCAACTGTCTTTGTTTGATTTGACATTTCGGGTTTTATTTTTTTAGTTTGTCCTACATTTTTTTCCAACACCCTTCACTTTCATAATCACATTTTTGGTCATATCCCCCTTACTTTCATAGCCAAAATTTCCTAGTTTGTTTCAACATTTCATTCGCTTATATATATTCTGTTTTATCTATTTTTTTATTTGTTCATCATGGTGTGAACAGAAACTATAACTGCCTCTGTCGGATTATCTGTAATAATTTCCTTATTGTCGTGTTTCGTGGTTTGAAGAGTTGAAACTAAACTAATTAGACAACAATAAGCGTAATGCACGTATACTATTTTATTACGGTTAAATAAATATAACGAGTAACGAGTTCTATAATTAACGAATTGAACGAATACAATAAAGCGAATACAATTCACAATTAGGGGTACGCTAACAATCAATTATCGCCCAAAAACAATAGAATAATAATTAGCGATGTGTCCTGCACATAACACCTCCCCAACTAACTAAAGTTTGTAGGCAAACTTATGGCGTATACGTTCCGATCTTCTAGGATATCGGGTCTAAAAGCACTTGATTACTTTCAGGCATGGTAGATTTGACGATTGAATGCCTTGATTCAAATTGGGACTGGGTCCCCGTGATTTCCCCTGGGTCGCCATCTTGGTTGGCACTGTATCTAGGACGGATTTGCTCTACGTGTCGTATCTATTGAAGACCATGTGGGATCGATTTTACCAATACGTGTCTTCGACCTAATCTTTGAAAAACTATTGCAGGAATCCATCTGAGTTGGCGATCTCTTCTTGGGCCATAGTACTTGACATAACACGGTTGACCTATCGAACCTTTCTCCTTATTGGAGTTCTCTAATTAACGAATTGAACGAATACAATAAAGCATGTTCACAATTAGGGTCACGCAAACAATCAATTATCGCCCAAAAACAATATAACAATAATTAGCGATGTGTCCTGCACATAACACTTATTACCAACACCAATGTTATAACATCACCAACACCAATGTCATAACATTGGTGTTATGACATTGGTGTTGGTAATAAGGAGAAAAAGAAAAGAAAAAAAGATCTTTATATTTCCAACACCAGTGTTGTAGCTTCAAGTTATTGTTATTCCGTAGGTTCAAGATTTCCGATAGATGAAAACTGTTTCAAACGCAAACTTTGTTAAAAGTTTATTTGAATGCCAAAAATAATAGAAACACAAAACTAATCATAATAACAACTTCGCATCAAACCGTCGCTAGAAACCTCTGCTAAAACCTCCCTATCCACAAATCCTTAAAACGCCTCTACACTAGATTTTTAGCATAAATTCGATATCTCTTTACAATCCTCTATGGTTTACAATCCAAAGATAACTTATATAGCAAAGATAACAGTAATTAGGATAAAAAATAATATAGCGCAATTTGATCATTCCGGAGGTTATAACAATATAAAAGAAGAAGAAATATGAGAAAAATGTGGAGTACGAGAAGCAAAACGAGCTGAGCAATTGAAAACTTCAATGAGGAGTTTCAAAGTGGTTTTAGATAGACCATAATAAAAAGAGTTAAAATAGTCTATGCAAAAAAAGATAAGAGAAGAGAAGAATTATCATGGTAAGGAATAAGTTGACAAATACAAGGAACCAAAAGAATTTGAGTAAAGAAAGTTTCAAATGTAAAATCTAGAAAATAAATAGATTGAGTTGGAAAAATAGTTTGGTTAGAATGAACACATGATATATGGTTAAAATTTTCTAGGCGGTCAAAATAAATAAATTCAAACTTGGATGGATTGAGTAAAAGAGGACCAAAATTCAACAGCACAGCAACAACAAAATTAAGGCACAAAGACATGGAAAAGATAACGAACACTAATGACGAATCTAGTATAAAAATGAGAGTCACCACCATAAAAAAGGGAATGAAGATTAAACGACGATATAATGTTATCGAGTTCAGAAGTATACATAATAAACAAATGAGGGCCAAGTATAAACCTCTGAGGTACATCACGCTGTAAAGTAGATGAGTTAGACACAAAAAGGTTATAAAACACATATAATGATATATTTGATATATAAGACTTAAATCTGGACAAGCAAGAATTTCTGACAAAAAATTTAGTTTTAAAAGATAAAAAAATAATGACCTACAGTGTCAAAGACCGAAGAGTAATCTAAAGGAACTCTAGAGACACTACCCTATATTAAAGTCAAAAGCTTAATTAAGATCATTGTAGAGTTTAAGAAGAAAAGTCTCAGTTTTATGACTAAAGCAATAACCATATTGAGAACTAAATTGAAAGTAAAAATAGAGTCGTTTAAAGAAATTTTTTCAAGAACTTCTGATATAAAGGATAAGTTAGTTATGGGTCTATAACTCGATAGCTTAAAAGGATTGAGAGAATTATTTTTAATGTAAGAATAATAATGTAAGTTTCGAAAGAAGAAGAAAATTTATAAATGAAGATAAATTAACAATTTTAAGAATAATAGAATACAGCAAACGAGATAACTTTTTTTTAAATTTTAGTAGGAATGATATCAATAGAACAAGAAAAGTAAGGCATAGCTTTAATTGTTATTATTAATTGTAATTTTATTAATTGTTATTGGAAAATTTGGACATTGATGGAAAAGACACGAGAGTTATCAAAAATCTCTATTGGGAGAGCAGCTATGAAAGTTGGTAACAAGGTGACTAGTTTTGTCGAAATAAAAAAAGTGTTAGACATGGCTGTGTATTTTCTTCTCCAAACCTGTACAATTTCTATAGTGAGATCATCATGAGAAAGATAGAAGATCTATCTGAAATAACCATTGGAGGTGTGAGTATTAACAATGTAAGATAAGCTGATGATACGGCTCTTATAGCAGATTCAATGGAAAAACTGCAACAAATTGTTTCCAAACTGGCTGGTTTTTGAAAATGAAAGGAAAGGCTTTCAAATTAACATCAACAAATCAGAGTGCATGGTTTTCAGTAAAAGCAAAACCACT